AGGCGTTCCCAGGCCAGCCGAGAGACATAGTCCCTCCAGCATGTCCTGGGTCTTCCCTGGGGCCTCCTCCCGGTGGGACATGCCCGGAACACCTCCCTAGGAAGGCGCCCAAGAGGCATCCGAAACAGATGCCCGAGCCACCTCAGCTGGCTCCTCTCGATGTGGAGGAGCAGCGGTTCTACTCTGAGCTCCTCCTGGGTGACCAAGCTCCTCACCCTATCTCTAAGGATGTGCCCGGCCACCCTGCGGAGGAAGCTCATTTCGGCCGCCTGTATCCAGGATCTTGCCCTTTCGGTCATGACCCAAAGCTTATGACCATAGGTGAGAGTTGGAACGTAGATCGACCAGTAAATCAAGATCGGATCTATTTAGTAAATTGCAGAATGAGGATAAGAGGACAAAACCCACATAAAAAGGTGAGATTTGTACTTTATTAGAAGTGTTTTCAAACAGTATGGTCTACTTTTACAAGAAAAAAAGACTCACGACCATGTGGCTGGTTTTCCATAATGGTACGAGAGTCTGGTTTGTTTACCCATCTCCATTAAAGTGCAACCAGGAATGGTGATGCACTGATATTTCAAAGGCTCAGCAAACAGGCGGTATTCAGGGGTAGACCAAACATTTGGACGTGCTGCAGTTACTGTCTGACAAAATGCCACCTGTCCAAACATCTGCAGACAGCTGTACAACTTCATCTCTATACACTGCTCCAGGAACATGCCAATTAAGAATAAGTTATTTTCTCCCTTCTTCAGCAGTTTGTTTGGCCAAACACCTACATTTCTAGAAAAGCATGACTGTCTCAGTAGTTCTAAGGCTTAAAGCATCCAGCTTCACAGCACAGCTTACAAACAGAAAACTCAACTCACCACACATTCAGCTTCTGTCCAAAGAGAAAGTTGTTGTTGAGGTGAGTGATGGCACGGTCCACTGCATAGCAGTCTCCCATCTCCACCATGGCTGCCCCAGGCTTACTCTTCATGAACTTCACCTGGAGACATGTCAGCGGACAGGACTGATCAGTTTTCTGTGATACAGAGCTACCCTGTGCTTATGAGATGCAAGATTCACAACAGTTTGGAGCAAAGGTGTGTGGTTATGGAAAGCTGCACTCCCAAGTTGCGTCACATGACTAAGTGGAGCCACTATTTTTGGCTGCGTATTCAGCCTACTGTTCACAGCGTGTTTCAGTACTTGGCAGGCTGAAATGCTGTATTAATAAACCTTGGGAGCTTTCAGTGTGACCAGCCTCTCCTTCCTCTTTGTAGCAAAACCAGACAAACCTATTGTCAGATACTGACCCGCTCAACGTTGCCATAGAGACAAAAGATATTAAAGACTCTGTCTGCATTCATCTTGAGAGGGTCCAGTCCGTACACCATGACCACCGGAGAATCAGCGTGGGCACCATACTCGCCAGGAGGAGGGGGAGGAGGTCCATAGCCCGGCCCGTAGCTTCTACCTCCACGCCCTCTCATTGGTGGACCCATGCGGCGACCCTCATAGGGTGGGGATCCATAGCTCTCGTCATAGCTGTGATAACCTCCTCCTAAATGAACAAGTGAGAGAAAATGAACTAATGACGACAAAATCAACAACTCTACAACTACAAAATAAAGTTGCTCCTTAGATCCTAGAGGCAGCATCTGTAGAGTTGCAATTAAAACCACCACTTACCTGCCACTGTGTGGAGGAGCCATTTCTAATCCCAACCACTTAACAAAACCAAGTTTAAAGATCCCCTCCAGACAAGTTTTAAGGCATATATACTGTATGTATATAAAAAAGAAAAAGATATGAAACAGCTGCAGTTTTCCTCATAAAACTGAAAACCAAAAACCCGCCTTTGCCCTTCATTCTTCAGATTTATGAATATTCAAATATTTTTGGGTTAGATGCCTGAAATAAGGTCTGCGGCAAAGACACGGTCAATATATTTTCATGTTTTGTGATTGCATTTGGGCTTCCAAAAATAAATAAATAAAATCATAGGAGTGACGTTCACTTGTGAAGATTATCTTGCTGAACAAAACATGCGTCATAAACCACTGTTTGTTACAGAAATTTACGGCAATAATTCAAGAGCCTATGGGAAAATCCAACTGGCTTTTTGTTGAGGGAACCACAGCAATGCTGACTTCCCTACAGCGCTCCGTAGCAGAGGGCAGATATCTATGGGGCATAAAATTACCAAAAAAATAAAAACAAAATTAATGAAAACCCATTTGAGCAGGGGGGCTTGAAGAACATTAACGGTCTAACACAGATTATCAGGACATCAACAGGTTTCTAAAACCTTCAGAAACAAATTACATTTTGTATACATAGGTATGTCTCTGTGCGTTTCTTGTCCCCCAGGGGCTTGAGAACCTTACCGTACTCTGGAGGGTGGTCGCCCAGCAGAGCAGGCTGTCTCTGGCGCTTGTTGGGGTTGGCATTCACGTCTTCTACGGGAACAGGACGATAAAAGCAGAGAGAAAAGAAAAGGACACCGATAAATACAACAACAAGAGACTGGCTAATATCTCTAGCATTTCAAATGTGCATTATGGTAAACTGACATTGACACCGAAATCTGCCTCAGATTGCACACCATAAATAACATGTCAGGGTAACTTTATTAAGGGATTGCAATCAAAATAGTACTTAAGACAGACACATGCACCTTAATGATCTGGCCTGTGAGAGCCATACAAGCACAGATGTCTAAGCCCCCCAGGGGGGGAAGACAAAGATGAGGTGGAAGCTGATGTAGTAAGTGAAAAGGGTAAGAACACCAAACATAGTCACTCTGGATAAGTATCACAAATAGCTAAGTTCAAAAATAAAGTTTGTACGCTCACACACACCTGCACTGCTCCCATTGCCATCTGCATCACCATCTGTACAGGTACACAATAATCATACACAATCAGAATGGAAGCCAGGTTAATCAAAAGGTACATTTTTTTTGGTACATTTTTTTTCTGGCAAATGTGAAACTACCCCAGAAATGCCAGAAGAGTGTAGGAGGGGAAAAAAAACAACAAAAAAACCCCCCAAAACACTCATAACAAGACTGTCCTCGTCTGGGAAATATTTCAGGATAAAACATGGGGGTGGGGGTGGGGGGATGACTTGGTAACTGCAGGTGACCAACCAACGTCTTACAGATTCTCTAACAGCAACTTGGCAACAGAAATATCAAGAGCAGCGGGTACAGTTTGGACACCAACCCCCCCCAGCCACTGTGGCTGGTGGATGGATGGCTCTCCTGGCTTTTCAGGTGTGTGACACTTTGTAGTTGGCCATGGGTCAAGCACATCCTACATGAATTAATATGAAGTTCACAATCCTTCCCCAGATTAAAAACAAATTTCATTCCCAAAGAACCTCACATTCATCCAGGGAACCACACGTGGATGATCCCTGATTGTGGTAAACTGCCAACAAGACACAGCAAACACACATACAGCAGGTCTGAGTGACATTAGAAATGCAGGCTGACAGAACCACAACCACCACCCTCTTCCAGAAAGAGAAACATTAAGAAAAACAATGGAGTCATGTCAGTCTTGTGTGGCGATGTTGAGTGCTGGGCGTTGGGGTCATGTGGTGCTGTGCGGTGATGTTCCCTGAGGAGGGTCTCGATTTACTTACTGCATGCTTACAAACAGTGGCAGGATGACATTTGCAGCAGTAGTTCCACCACTCTCCACTCAACTCATTTCATCCCATACTCTTATCCGTTTCCTCTTTTGGGGAAACAACTCTCCACCTCGATTCCTGGTTTTATCAGGTTGAAACGCCCATTGGAGGGGAGGTTGGCCGTTTGGCTGGCGTTTCCATCCTTTTTGTTCCATTTTGGAATAGTCCGCTTAGCACCCACCGGTAGGCCATGAGGCTGCCATAGAGCACATTTCAGTTGGGCAGCTGGCTCCCCTTAGCCGCAAATTGCCAAACCTGCATCACATGGAAGGTGTTACACAGGTTCTAGAGACTACAGCATATTTTGAAGGAAAAAAAAAAAGCTGCACTCAAAAAAGGGATAGCTAAACAAGGATGCATGTGGTAAGAAAGTCAGAGGGAGGAAAAGATGGAAGAGAGCAAAGAGAGAAAAGCTGAACTCCACATGGGAGGAAACACAAGGGGTAAAAGCAAAAATGGGCCTGACTGGGCTCTGAGTGTGCTTGGTGGTGTTGTCAGCAGTGTCTCGTCTTCATCAGTTGTCTTGTGTTGTCGATTCAGAGGTGTGAGTCATCTATCGGAACGGCATCAGCAAGTGTCGGAGTGTGTTGCTTGCATGTTGTGTTTTCGCGTTGAACAATACGGCCCAAAACAGTACAGGAAGGGCCAAAACTGTGACCTTGGCCGATGGGTTAGTATCAGTATGCATCATCTGCTGTCTCACTACTTCTGTTTGGGTGGATGCTGTGTCTTCTCTGGTGTCAGTCTCCGCTGGGTGTAGACAGTGGGGGTCTGTAGATGCAAGTTGTGGCCTGCTTCAATGTGATTTTCGCTTGTGTCTCAAAATAGGTAAGAAAAGGGGGAGGGACCAAGTGTAGCTCAGTGCCCCAAACCCCCCGCCCTCTGGAAGTGTGCGTTGTCATCGTGGCCCTTGTGCTGGAATGCGGAGCTGAGGAGTGAGTGGTATATTAGTCCTACATCAGCATGTTGAATGGGTGTTGTCTTGTAGTTTATCCCCCATTTCTCGGGGGGTGGGGGGCATTTAGCCCTCTGTGTGAGAGTGGTTGTGTCCTCATTGAAGGAGTGCGTACTGGAGATGGTGGCTGCTGAGTGGTGATGTTGTCAGCACGTGTCTGTTTTGCCCTCTCGGCAGAAATTCCTGTGCATGTTTCTTGACTGATCTCAGACCTGATTACCAGATATTGCAGCTGTAGCTTGGTTACTGATGCTGGTCCATGCCTCTGTTCTCACTCCTCAGACTAATCACGCAACTGTGAGACTTAAAAATAAGGCTGCCTGCACTACTTCAGCTATCAGCCACTTTAAATCTTACAAAGCTATTTTGGCTGCACTGATCTGAGCACTAATCCTATGTTGTTGGTCATTTGTTGAATGTTTCTCTCGAAGATTTAAAAATAAATAAAGACGACCATATGTGAAAATTGCTTGTAGGAGTTAGATCACAGTGGAAAAGACCAGGATCAGGTTTGGTGGTAAAAAAAAAGTTTCCCAGTGACTTTAAAGTGAAAGCTAAAATACACACTGCCCATTTAGAGAAGAGGGGAAAAAAACAAAAGAAAACTGTACTGTTGCTATTATTTTTAGCTGTGACTTAATGCATTTCTTATTCCAAAATAACTACAACGATTACAGATGTGGTAAGGAAGGCAGGAACAGCAAATGCAGACAAAAGGAACACTTCAATTTTCAGTCAGACACAAATTGGGAGATTTTATTAGCAGCACTGGGTAACATAGTTCTTCACTAGCAAACAGACTGGAGCATGACCTGATAGCGGAACATAAAGCAAAGATCTCACGTATGTGCCGCTGACTCCGACTTGTGCTGACTTAAGGAAACTATGGCCACTGGGAGCCTTTAGGGGCAACATAGTCGGGTCTGGGGTTTTGTAATAAAGAAAACAAAAAAAAACAAAAAAAAACAAAACCAACGGAAGTCTATTGCACAAATGAACAAACTAATCTAGACTGAGAGCTGACAGACCAACAGTGAATAGAGGCAATTCATTGTTAGTTTTAGTCTGTTAGTGCTGAAATATATATATATATATAAACCCTAACAACTGATGCCGTCTGTAACATAACCTTTCAGTCTGCATGTGTTCCTGCCACTCCGTCACACAGCAGAGTTCAACATTTAAGCTTTAAAACGTCTAGCAGGAAATGTGGGTATTAACTTCATATTTATATTTTCCTCAAATGTCCCACCCCTACCTATGAACCCTAACCACTCTGTGTATTGAGATGTACTACAGTAAAACCCAAAGAAAAACTTCAGTCACAATGTCAAGTGTATCTGTCTGGTAGCATTATCATTGACGGGTGTTGCCTCCACCTTCCTAGTAGCCTGCTTGCTGACACTCCCCACAGTGGCAGTAAGGGTTAACAGGACCAGGCTTCCCGGCTACTGAGCTTGTGTCGATCAGCAAATACTTGGTGTGCTGAGGTGTGTGAGGTTGTACCTGGGCCTCCCAGATTGGGGTTTGTGTAGTCCCAGGTGTCTTGGTCATTCTTGAACACATTCAGGCGTGTTGGCTGTGGAAAGACACTTTATATGAACATACAAGGCAACAAAAATGTACCGTTTATAGTTTACTGCTGCTGTCCACACAAAAGCAGATTCAGGTGGCTGCATTTTAAATTCATTATATATTACCAAGTCCCCTCTGCTCAAAAATGTTTTGCTTATACTCCAGCTTTTCCCAAACTTAGTGTCACAACCCAAAACATGGACCGTTTTTTTTTTCCTAAGTTGCCAGTTGGTGGAGTAAAATGCTTAACAAGACTATGATATACGGCTTCATTTTCCAACTCAAAATAGAAGGAGCATTTTTTCCTGTGCGGATCTGTTCAGATGCTGGGTGCGAGTTTCTCTCACTCCCAAATGGCAACTGAAGTTCAGGAATTTTCCCGGTGGGCTGATAAGGGTTTCTGAACTCTCTCTCTCTCTCTCTCTCTCTCCCTCCTCTCCCTATGCTTCTATATGCCACCATTACACATCACTAACTGTGTGTCTCCTCTCTCCCGTAGTGTGTCCTCTCTCTCTCCCTGTACCTTTCTACAGGTTGCCCTGGCCCTGGAGCTCTATGTCTCTGACGAGCAGTCACCAGCCACATCGACCTGATCAGTGTTTGATTGTTGTGTCTTGTTGCTTTTCTTCTTTTGTCTCTCCTCTATCCACTCACCCCAACCGGTCAAGGCAGAAGGCTGCCCACCAAGAGCCGGGGTCTGTCGGAGGTTTCTTCCGTTAAAGGGAGTTTTTCCTCCCCACTGTCGCCAAGTGCTTGCTCAAGGGGGATTTGTTGGGTTTTCCCTATGTAATAATATTGATAACAATAAGGTCTAGACCTTAGTTTGTAAAGTGTCCTGAGATGACTTTTGTTGTGATTTGGCGCTATACAAATAAAATTTGATTTGAACTGCTTAGCTATCATACAGCTGATACAGATAATAGTTATTCATAGCTGCAGCGACACTGCTGGTGCAGTGAGTACACAGGGAGGATCTGTGTCGCTGACACGTTGTAAATGTGATTATTGTAGAGCTGCCTGACCCACCACTGGCTAATCACTCCCAGTTGAGGTCAGTCAGCGCGGAAACATTTACTAAATGTCTGCAAAGAAAGTGCAAAACCTGACTGTCTCAATATAAATGAACCAAATCAAATAATTACTGGGGTACTAATTTCTTTCTCAGTATAATGTAAGCACATTTCATAGAGAACACCTTTGTTGCTTTGAAAGTGACTGTAGCCTGTTAAAATACTGCATATGAAAAACAATTACATTGACCGTCATGAGGTGTTGCATCACCTCAGGACGGTAACTATCCCAGTCATTGTATTGGCTTGGATTATATTGTGCAGGTTATGTTGCTGTGCACCTACTGCACTTGTTTTGTTTATGAAGACTGGCAATGCTGTGCTGTTGTTGCAATAGTACCTTGGCATACTCGATCTTCAGTGTGCAGCAGCCGGAGTAGATGTCTGCGCCGTTGAGTGATGCCTTGGCCCGTTGGGCGCTTTGCACAGAGTCAAATTTAATGACAGCGTTAAGGACAAGACAGGAAATATCTGGTTATCTCCGACACTAATGACAACGCAGACTGTCAGAAGCCACAAGTGAACGTAAATGTACCCACACACTATCCTCTCTAATTCCAGAGGGGTTTTACAGTGTTTTAATGTGCATCGGTGAAATATGCCTACTTTAGGACACTGTGTCTAAGATGTGTGCGTGAGCAAATACCAGGAGACAGACAAACTGGCTTATCATACTGGACAAGTTCCTGCCAAAACTGTTCATTCACCGTCAGAACTTTCAGAAAATTATTACACACTGCAGTCAATCAGGTTGTGACCCCCATGTCTGATAGAATCCAAGGAAAAGGATATTCAACCATTGCCTGGACACCATTCTTCCTGAAGATGACAATTCTCTGAACAGGCCCACAGTTGTTGCAGATAGTGTAGATGACATCCTGGGAAAACATACCAAATTTAAAATATTTATTTAGGCAATCGTTAAATCAAAGCGTGCGCAGACACTGTAGAGCGCAAATCAGTTTAACATGCAAATAATGGCAGAGGTATAAAGAAGCTGTCGTCATTTAGTTTGACTCACAATTCTGTTTCCTTTTGCACATTATTTGAACAGTGAATATTTTGGGAGTTTTTTTTTGGTAAAAATTAACTCTGGGACGACGCAACTACCATGTGACATTTTACACTTAATAAAAAAAGAGATAGAGAAAGATTTGAGAAAAACGTAGGTATACAAGTAACGAAAATGATTTGGTCCTGTTTCTTATGCTAAACCGTGACAGCCAGTATTTCAGAGATGTTATAAATTATTTTCACATACCAAAATCTGCTGGCCTCTTTCCCATACAATAACACACTGTGCCTCTGAATTAGCAGGAGTATAGTCAGAAAATACAGGCTAAACTGATATTTGCATACAGTATATTACTTCCAAGGGCTGATATCTCAACAACATGCCTGTCACTTTGATAGGCTGGCACTCAATGCAACCCTGTACGAACCAATTAAACACTATTCTGTGAGAATTACACATTTCTTATAAAATGCTCCCAAATGTTTGCATTTACCGTGGTGATGGGGTAGATAGGGTTCATGATGGTGAGCAGGAGGACATTGTTAACACTTCTGGAGTCGTCAGAGTCTCCCGGCCTGGAGATCTTCTGGCTTGTAGAGTAGTTGATAAAGGCTGGGTGGCCTGCGATGTAGACTTGGTTGTCTGCAGCGTAGGTTACAGCTGTAGATGAGCCATTCATGTCTTCGTACTCCACCAATGCCTGACGTTTCTTGGGCATCACCACTACATAGCTAAAATCAAAACAACAAAGGCGTTAATTAAAAAGGCAGAACTCAACTAGACCATATCTGCTAGTTCCTTGTCAACTTTAAAAAATTACAAGTTGCTACCCAATTAAACCCCAGCCTTGGGCTGTGCTCAAATAAGGACAACAGACACTTACACTGGAGAAAAACCACATTTTTCACATCCTTTAAACCTCGTTTTCTCTACCTGATTGTTCCAAACTCCTGCAGGGCCTCCACAAGGTCAGCCTCTGTAACACCATCCACCAGTCCACGCACGTGCACCACCACAGAAGGAAGGGTCTTGTGTGGATCTTCATATCCCTGTGTTGAAGAGAACATCAAATGTGCAAGTTCGTTTAGCGTGACCATTTAGTTGTCTCATCTAAGGTGATCGGGCACAAAAAGCTGTCTAGACAGTTCGCTGCTTTTTTTATTTGAATGATCCAAACGATCATTAGGGTGGATGTCCGGACTTGAATCAGCAATGAAATTCATTTGGTGCAACTGAACTGTAAAGAACCAAATGAAGGTAAATGGGGCGGACCAATTGTGAGACTACAGATACTTGTTTGTTGGGTAGGTATTCAGTCTTTTATTCAAGTTATTTGAATATCAGAGACGGCACAAAGTTTCAATGCAGTCTGAGTTTGATGATGAAGAAAGAGCATCACGAAGACATCTCATCTCCTAGCTGGTAAGCTACTGCTCATGTCTGAAAACGCTGGAGCAGATCTCCAATAAATCATAAGCAGGCCATTGTTAAAGCACAAACCGCTTTACTGTAGCAGGGCAGACAGACAACGAACTACAGCCTAATTCATTTAAACAAGCTGTTTTGGTGAAATAGCCTATGAGAGACGTTTGCACCAGGATCGTCTACAAAGTACAATAGCTTCACTCAAAGTATTGTAGTATAACAAACAGGAGACCAGTGATGCATTAAAGTGCCCATGGCATGCTTTTCCTCGTTGCCCTAACTGAACATTTTTGTAGTATTTCTTCTGCATTTAGCACTTTGTAGACGTCCCGGTGCAACCATCTCAATGCTGCACACAGGTTGTTTCTCTTTCAGATGAAACTTAGGCTGTAGCTCCTTCTCCGTCTACTTCACTACAGTAGAGAATTCCTCTGTTTTAACACAGTCTGGATTATGATTTATTGAAGATCTGCTCCAACAGTTTTTGACACGAGTATCCCACCAGCTAGCAAACAAAGCGTTTTCCCCCACTTCAACTGTATTGAAATTTTCTCCTGTCCCAAATGCTCAATTACTAAAATTTTAAAAAAGGGTTACCTACCCAACGAACGAATAACCGAATAGTCGCACATTTGGGTCCAGCCTTAGTGTTATACTGTGGCAATAAATACCGAGCCAAACTACAGGATTAAAATAATGATCGGTGTTTTTGTTCATCAATGAGCAAGTGAGTTTTAACGTTTAAACTCAACACCTTCACATTAAAAGGGAATAATTAAACTTGCACATACAGTGAGAATATCAGCCCACACAAACGGGAGCTGATTTGGTGCTGACTAATGAGATTTTGCTTACGCTGTGTAAGCCAGCTAGCTAGCGGCTAGCACACGGCTAACAATCGCCGGGCTAGAACAAAGCCGGGCTCGGGCGAGGCCCAGTTTTAGAAACCATCTTCAGGGGAGCTCATTTAGGGAGCAAGACACGGTATTTATATGTCAAGATGTGCCTTCGTCAACCTCAGACAAATAACACAACGATGAATTGACAAAGAGGATAAAAAAGAAGCTTTATTAGCCACAAGCGTTCGCTCAGGTTTAATGACCTGTGACGCATCGTGATGCCTTTTCCCACCAACGCGCATATGAATGAATTAAGTTCCACTAACACCACTATAACCAAGCCAACTGTGTGCGTTTAGAACTAAAATTCATCTCTAATACAACCCATACAAAAGTGACTCACCGTAGCCATTCCGTCGGTTTTCTGTCTTTTCGTTGCCCTGCCGTCTTCGCTGTAGTAACGACTCGCTGCAGTAGCCATGTTGTCCCGGTTAAAAAGGATGGTGGTAGTGACGATCAACTGAAACGCACAGAAAGTCAAGAAAAACAAGGCTCGTGTTTCCACGCCCATTATAGCTGAATCTCGTGCTGTGATAGGCTCGGGCAGCTGTCTATCTACTTGTGAATTGAAAACCAGCCAATAGGAGAACAGAAAGTGTAAGCAGGTATTCAGTATTCAGATCACTTTCTGCAGCTTAATCTGCTGTAGATTTAATTTTCAAGTTGATAAAATGGCTACTTTCCCGACTGATCTGCACATACCCCAAAATGAAAGGTGAAATTTTTTAAATAATTTTTTTGCAGATTTATTAAAAGTCAAACAGAAATTTCTCGTTTACAAAAGTATTCATACTTTGCTGTGGTCGTGTGCGTCCAGGTTTGTCTAAAACTTGACTGGATTTAACGTGTGGAAAACGTTGATTGTACATAAGTCAACAATTCACACTAAAGAAATTGTCTTCAGGGTCTCTGCGATAAAAAAAAGTGCTGCGGCATAGACCAGGACACGGGTATAAAACCATGTCCACAGTTCTGAGTGGTCTCAGAAGCAGGGACGGAAGCCTGCTCAGAACCAAATGACTGATGACAGCAGCCAGATACAGCGATGCCCTAGAGTGCAACGATTCAACTTTGAGCACATGGACCCATCCAAAACACGAGAGAAAATTCCAAATTTTGAGATGCTAGATATTGATAATGTAGCGAAAATACCTGCATTTGCAGCACAAGGCATAAAAAAGTGAGGGTCTGAATAATTTCCGAAACCACCCTTATTCTTATGAACAGCTTCACATTTCTTGTAGTACTTACATGGGCTTAACCCATTAGTTTTATAGTGGTCAAGGCATCTGTATTACATAAAGAGAAATATCTTTAGTTTCTAATTGCCAGTTTTACATCTTTTTACTAATTGCACAGAGTAAACTCAGGTGACACCTGGATGGCCCCAGTGTTTCACCTTTGAACCATTTTTTCCATTAGATTTATTTTATGTGTCATGCACCAAAGTGCTCAGCCTACATGGACTTACAAGATACCACAAATACTGTTGGTTCGATGAAAAAGAAAATTTTCAAATCAATAATAGACTACTTCTGTATAGACATCTTTCACAGTGACATCTAGAAATCAGGACACACAGTACCGAGACCACTCAGGTATGAAGGGGTTTATTCAAAAATAAAACTGCCACTATTTTACCACAGATGCCAAAAACAGAACAAAATTGTCCAAGCAGCCTCAACGGGAATCAAACCTAAGCACTGTATACATTTTAAAAGTCAAAAGTCACAGAAATAAATCAGAGATCAACAGATGACAAAAATCTATTCAGGATACAGTGAAGCTGATCAGGTTTGTAAGAAGGGCAGTGCAGCACAGAAACAGCGCACAGCAGGAA